TTGGTATAACTCTTCTCATGTTGAAATCAGTAAAATTGTTAGCATGGACGTCAAAGGGAGCAGAGTAGGCCAATGCTGAGGGCATCTCAAAATATATTTGGAAGCCATGGATCTGTTTGGGCACCCACCCCATCCTGTACCTTCTGCTTGCCCGAAAAGGGCATGGCCCCTGGTGGTATATAAGCAAAGGACCTGCATGTGTACTTAGGATCTGGAAGCACACATGCCTCATTGTGCGTGCGCTGTCGATTTCCTGAGCACACTTACCAATTTGGGACAATGTTGTTGAAGTTTATAGTGAAAACCACTGCCTTGAAGGTTGCAAAAAATGATTGATAGATATAATAACTGAAGTACAGGCTAAGGGTACTATTGCCTATTGGAGACTGTGGGGCAGAATCTGTCTTATCACTCTCAGGCCTTACAATTTGCACGAGAAGAATAAAGGCCCAGTGCTTGGAGAGGCTAGGGGAAAATTATCCCAGCATGGGAAAATGTACGTGTCTTGTTTCAGGGGCTATTTTCAGGGTAGAAGGAAATATGCTAGGAGTGGGATGGGGACTTTTTCTAGTCTATGCTGCTGCGGACATTCTGGGAATTCCCCAGAATTTGGGAGGCTGCTATAAATCAGAATCACCCCCAGGGCTGCTCTAAGATGGTGGAATTTGGCCTACAAATGAGCCCAGAATCCAGAAGGCACAAAGGTGCCACTTTTGCTTCCAATTCCAGTGCACTATGCCTTTTGTGCTATGTGTGCATCTTGGAGGCGAACCACAGAATCTCTGCTCATTCTTCTAACCAATGAGCAATGGCTTTCCCTAGGGTATATATTATAACACTCTAAAAAAACCCTTTTTTTCCCCATCAAAATGTTCTGCATCATCAGTTGCCATCTGCTCAGTCTTCCCTATGTCAGCTCAGAGGGCCTTATGAGCCTCTTTCAGCCAACAGCAAAATTCCAGCTGTGAAAACAAATGCTGGCCTGGAATAAGCTATATGCAAAATACTTCCTCGCTGTCTATAAAAGATGCTCTTGCATGTCTTTAAAGCATTTGTTTTTTCTGAGAATGCTGTCTGGCACAACGTCATGCCTCAGGGAATGTTTGAAGTTATTTTTATTGATTCATTTTCATGAAATTTTACTTTATTTTACAAGTTTGCTTCTGAGAATGTCATAAAGTATAAAAAAGCAGAAGAAGAAACAGGAAACCTGCTTCAAATATTGCACTGAGCGTGGCATATTCTGTGCCAAGGCTATTAAGCAGAGATGAGCAAGAGAGTTGTTTCCTCACAGCAATATTATCTTTCATCGTTCACTGATTTACGCTCCCATCCAACCTTTACATGGACGCCTAACATACACACAAAGATCAAAATAGCAAAATCCCATTTCCTATTCAAGGTACAGGTGGTTCCCGAGTTACAAACGCATTGCCTTCGACTGTTTGTACTTATGACCAACCACCCATTAAGCTCATTACAGTGGGTCCCCGAGTTATGAATGTGCGATCCGCGCTTATGAACAGCGCAGTCACATTTAAATGAATGGAGTCCGACTTACGAACAGATCGAGTTACGACCAAGTGTTTGGTACGTAACTCGTTCGTAAGTCGGGGACTATCTGCATATCCTTCTAAAATATCCTTACACTACCAGATGCCATACTACCCACTACCAAAAAGTGGTGTTAGTTGCCAAATAACATCGTTAAAAATACAAAGTTGCAAGACGTACAGAAAAAAATACATGATATAGTCCACACTCTTAATAACATCAAACGGATCAACCCTTCTTTGAGTCCTTCAAAACATCACATTATGAGAAAACTCAGAACTCTGGAATAGATTATATTCCCTTTGATAACGTCAACATATATATGGGTGGGGATGGCCAGAAAACAACACTTCCATCATGGGTGGTGGGTGAAGGCTGAAGCTGGGGAAGGCAAGTCTGAGGCCCCACCCCTTCCATCTGATACTCTGCCCCTCCTGAGATCTCCTCCCCCTGTGGAGTAAAGGCCAGCTTCCACCCCAGGTTACAACCCCCAACCCCAGCGAGTGGCATGGCCCCACCCTTTCCACATGGCCAGAACACCTGGGGCAGCTGTGCCATGGCCCAGCCCTCCCAGGTGGCTGGGGAGCCAGGCTACCATGCCGTGGCTCCAGCCCTCCTGGGCTGCTGGGGAACAGATCTACTGCACTGTGGCCCCAGCCCTCTTGGGTTGCCATGGAGCCGAGCTGCCGCACTGAGGCTCCAGCCCTCCCGGGCGGCTGGCAGAGGGTGTAGGCAGTTTTGGAAAGGCAATGCCTTCCCTTGCCTATAGTACCTGCTGTCCATGACTTCCATTTCTGAAGAAAAAAAAGGTTTTGCTGGAAGCAGAATGAAAACAACACCTTTTGAAATTCTGGCAGGGGAAGGAGACAGTCATCTACCACCGAACAGCCAATAACTTGGTGGTTTGGATACTCATGTGACATGTGGGGGACCTAGTTCAAGTCATTGCTCTGAATCAAGGCAGAATTTCCTAGTCACCAACCTATTCTGACCTGATGGGTCTCTCTCTAAATTCCAGCCTGGCCCTTAGAAAACCTTCCTGACAAAAGCTTCATAGAAAAGCTTCTATGCTTTCATACTTCTCTGAAAAGTTTCAGTATTGGCATTTTCTGTAAAAATCCCTGACCTATTAGGGACATATTAGGCTTGACTGTCAGTTTATATTCTATGGGCAGTCTAGGCTAGGGAGTGGGAATAGCCCTCCTTCATCTCAGCAAGATTGTCATAACAAAGATGGTCTCCCACGATAGGATAATTTTGCTCACTGGGCTTGTGTACCAACCACTTGCAGAGTACGCCGAATGAACCGTAGCAGTGCTTTGATTGAATGCAGAGGGAGCACACAGCTCTCACAATGTTGTGTGCTATCAGCACGCACCTCACTTCATGGCTACGTCTACATTGGCACCCCTTTCCAGAAAAGGGATGCTAATGAGACGAGTCGGAATTGCAAATCCGCGGGGGATTTAAATATCCCCTGCGGCATTTGCATTTACATGGCTGCCGCTTTTTTCCGGGGAGAAAAGCGCCAGTCTAGACGCGATTCTCCGGAAAATAAGCCCTTTTCCGGAGGATTTCTTATTCCTACTTGAAAGTTTATAGTGGAATAAGAAAGTAGGAATAAGAAATCCTCCGGAAAAGGGCTTATTTTCCGGAGAATCGCGTCTAGACTGGCGCTTTTCTCCGGCTTATCCCCAAGCCGGAAAAAAGCGGCAGCCCTGTAAATGCAAATGCCGCAGGGGATATTTAAATCCCCCGCGGATTTGCAATTCCGACTCGTCTCATTAGCATCCCTTTTCCGGAAAGGGGTGCCAATGTAGACGTAGCCCATGTGTGTGTGTCACTTTAGTAATACCAGTAGGCAAAAAACAATGTGGATGGAAACCAGAGGTATCTGGCAACCCTGCACGTGGGCAACAGTAAACAAAATGTTTTGCGGGCCACACATAGAACCCTGATGGGCCACATGTGGCTTGAGGGCTGTAGGTTGCCCACCACTGCAAGTCTCGGTGCACATCTGGAACAGACCAAATTATGAGTCACAATTCCATCCCTGATGGCACCTTTGCTCCACAGTGGAAGCAGCAGGTTTACATTTCCTTCAGGGCTCATTCAGCTCTGGTGGCTGGCGAGTTGCGGTTGGGAAGGTGGGGCAGAATTTGGCCTCACCCATTTCTGGGTAGGAGAGGTCTCCTGGAGTCTACTCTCTCTCCCACCTGCCTGTGATGTTGGTAGCCCAAGCAAGTAAGAGTGAGTCTTACATGTGGTGTTTGATACCCAAAGTCTCATAGACTCATAGACTTTAAGGTCAGAAGGGATCATTATGATCCTCTAGTCTGACCCCCTTCACAATGCAGGCCATAGGATCTCACCCACCCCCTCCTAGAATAATCCTCTCACCTATATCTCAGATATCGAAGCCTTCAAATAGTTTGAAGATCCCAAGATGCAGAGAATCCTCCAGCTGTGATCTGTACCCCGTGCTACAGAGGAAGGCGAAAAACCTCCAGGGTCTCTGCCAATCTACCCTGGAGGAAAATTCCTTCCCGACCCCAAATATGGCGGTCAGCTAAACCCTGAGTATGTGGGCAACACCAGCCAGACACCCAGAAAGTTCCCTATAGCAACTCCTATCATCCCTCCATTGACCTATTTACCTCTGATAATGAATGGTCAATTAGTTACCAAGATCATGTTATCTCATCAAACCATGCCCTTCATAAACCCATCTAGTTTAATCTTGAAGCCAGATAGATCTTTTGCCCCCAGTACTTCCCTTGGAAGTCACCCTCTACCATTTGGATTTTTGGTAGGGTGACCATATTTCCCAAGGAGAAAATGGGACACTCTGTGGGGCTGGCCTGAGCACTCTTCCCTCCACTGCTCCCATCCCAAGCTGGCCTGAGCCACTAGCCCATCCCCCCTCTCTGAGCAGGAGGCAGGCAGGGCTCAGGTGAGCAACAGTTCAAACATTTTTCAAAGGGGGCTGGCATCACTGCTCACTTTAGCCTTGCCTCCCCACTTCTGGAGCCCAACCTCCCCCGCCATCGCATGGGGCATTGCCACTCACCCTCCCGCACATCCCCCTGCATCTGACTTTTCTGACAAAAGTGGGTGTTTGTCCCTCTATCTCTTGACAACAGATCAAGCTGGCAAAAGGGACAAATGCCCACTTTTACCAAAACAGTTGGGACAGCCGGGACACAGCTTGAAAAGGGACTGTCCCGGCCAAAACAGGATGCATGGTCATCCTACTTTTTGGCCCCCATTTTGTTTTCACTGAATACGGAATGCACACCTTGGGCCTGGCTTAATTAAAGCTCACAAATGGAGTCCGCAAAGTGACGTGCTGGACAAAATGCGACTTAATTAATGACAATGCAGAACTTCCACTAATGCTTGAGAGAGCCTCAAAGGACAGTGTCCGCCATGAGCCTTATACCTACCAGCTTAATATGTTCTCGCTTCTGATATTTTTCACTATAATACTGTTCTTGTCGGAGATTGAGAAGCTGCTGTTGTTGCTTTTCCTTCAGTTCTATTAACTTCTGGGTCATTTCTGAATCAAGGGCAGCCAGTTCTTGTTCAATAGTTGAACTGTGATCCGGGCTTCCAGTTTCACATCTGCACAGACACACAGAATACTGATTGTTCATTCAATAGGTAGAGTTAGTACAATTCCTCTTTTTTCCTTCTTTTTCTTTCTTTCTATAATTATCTAAACTAGCATCGGTAGCCCATCAAGAATGAATACGTGTCTATGTCCTGCATATTCTCTCCAGTGCAATTATATGATTTACCACACACTTAAAATAATCGGTTGTTTTCTCCATTGATTTCCATGGGAGGATGCAATATGAGAGTATAATAGACAGCATTTTGGTGGTGGCCGTGGTTGTCAGGATTTAAACTCAATTTGCACAAGGTGCATTGCAATGGAGAATAAGGATCAACATAAATAACTCATAAACATATTCACCAATATTTTTCCAAATTGGGCACCTAATTGGATACAAAAGTTCATGTTTATCTAGCTAATAAGTGTCTTGATTTTCAAAATAACTCAATAAGAATAATGGAAGCTCTTAAGTGCTGAGCCTTATTGAATCTCAAAACCTGTTTAGGTGCCTAAATGTGGGTTTAGCAACCTAACATGAGGTTTGCATTCATAAAAAGCATGGCCAGTGTTTGTTTAGGAGTTAGGAAATCCTTATATCTGCTAGCTTATGCTCTTTTGGAAAGAAACAGTCCTGTGGTAACTGAGGAAGGTACTACACAGAAGCAAAGAAAAAATTAAAAGTTAAAAGTCACCACAAGGGTAGGCAAGGGATTGGTAAGGGAGCAGTGGATGATGCATGTGAGAGTGAGATAAATAGTGCATAAAGCTAAAGGAGTAGGATAAAATAATAACAAATCTAAACAAAAGAATTGAACCTGTAAGCATATGCCCTGATCCATATTCCTATGTGCTTACTGCACTATTCTAGGTGTTAATCTAGTTGCCTAGGAAACCTCAGACATGGCAGTTTATAGTGATGTGGCAAAAGGCTAGAGTTCAGCCTAGGGTGGAGTTCTTGCTTCAGATAAAATTATAAAGTCCTGAAGAGGGAGAAGAATCTGTAGGATCACATGAATCAGCCACTCAGAAAGTCAAATTCAGAAAATCAATTAGAATGTGGAGAGCTCTTTACCTTGCCAGTGTGTCCTTCTTTCTGACGGCTGAATACATTGGGTCAGATTCTCAGCTGGTACAAACTAGTGTAGCTTCACTGAAGCTAATGGAAACACATGGATTTTCACCATCTGAGGAGCTAGAAGTTTGTATCTCAACAGTAATTTTTTTTTACTAGCAATAAAACTCCCCCTTTTCTCTTTCACAGTGGACATTTAATTGTTTGTCCCCTCCTAGGCAGATCTGCTTTTTGCAATAGCAGTGTGTAAAGAGTTCCTTCAGGCACTCACCCTTTGGTGGCTGAGGAGAGTCTTATAGTCTCTACTCGCCTGTCTGCAGGCGAGACAGTGTCCAACAAGTGGCCAGAGATCAGGCCTCTTCTTTAACCCCCCTCAAGGTGCCATTTGTACGGAGGTTTTGTGTGTGTGTGGGGGGATGGATGGACCCAGGCCCACCCACTCCTCTGGGTCCCAGCCCAGGGACCCTATAAGTAGCAGTTACCTACTGAGTTTCAAAGTACTTAGTTGCTGTTATATCTCTGGGCCACTTCCCCAGGATGCTGTCGCATCCAGCCCTTTCTCTAGGGCCTTGTGGTTGAGTTCCCCTTGTCCAGGGTTCTGCAGGGTTGTCTTTGGCTTCTTGGCTAGCCTTCAGCCACAGGACCCGGCTCCAACCAGGTACGATGCCCCAGCTCCCACTTGGAGCTGTCCAGAGAGCTGGGGTTCCCCAGTCAGCCCTGAGATCTGCCTGGGTCAAGCTCCAGGAAGGAACTGACAGGCCCTGGCCTATCAGCTCCTTTTATATCCACCTTCTGCACCCTAATTGGCTGCAGTGGAGGCTGCCACTCTATTCTGCTCAGAGGGCCTCTCTACTGCTCCTGTTGCTGGCCATGGTGCTGAAAGACCTCCTGCAGGGATGTCGGATTTTGTCCATCCCATCACATTGGCTACGTCTACACTGGCCCCTTCTTTGGAAGAGGCATGCTAATTCCTAACTTTGGAATAGGGAAATCCGCGGGGGATTTAAATATCCCCCACGGGATTTAAATAAACATGGCCGCCGCTTTTTTTCCGGCTTGGGGAAAAGCCGGAAAAGAGCGTCCAGACTGGCGCGATCCTCCGGAATAAAGCCCTTTTCCGGAGGATCTCTTATTCCTACTTGCAGGAATAAATCCTTAAATCCTTCAATCCTGAGACACTGCCCACTTAGCACCATGATCACCCCACCCCACAAAAAACCCCAACAGACTAGGAAGATCTTGCCATTACTCTAAATGAAAGTGAAAACTGAATCAGCAAAAGATCCAGATAAAGGGGTGTGCATCTCCTGCAAAGCATCCTGATTACAGCCATGTTCCAACTCAGCTGTATCTGTGGTGCAAGAGAATTCAGGGGTGAAGGGCCTGCTACGGAGAAAGCCCTAACTCCAACTCCTTGGCACAGGCAGACAAAGACTAATGGACGAACATAAGTGTTTCAAAGAGGGGAGACTTTTGACATGAATTTGAATACTGTACATGAACACTGAAACAGCATGAGAAAAGCCCTTCTCACAGTACTGCTAGCATGGCCAGAGCAAGATCTGGTGTTTTAAGCGAAGTTACCCAATCAATTTCCAGGCAAAATGCCAGTGTAGCATACACACTCCATACTAAGTCTCTGAATGCCCGTAACCCAATTTTCAGTTTCAAGGATTGATAGGGAAGGTGAGCAACACACATTCCCGAAAGAAATGAAAGGAAATAATAGCATAGCTCTGTTTTCCTAGTTCAGGCAGTTTATATTGAAAGAACAATGACTTTTGTAAGGAAAATTTAAGTAGGGTGACAACCTTCCTAACCAAGTATCAATCTATTCCTAAAATCAATTTGAGCAATGCCATTGCCTACTAAGCATTAAGTCCAAAGTATTCAGAATCCCTTGTGATTAATTTTCAGAGAAGCTAAAGATCAGATATCAGCACTTTTGCAAATCAGGCTCTAGGTGCTAGATTTTCAGACATATGTAGCACCTTAAGGTATTTTGATACCTATAGAAGTAGATAGCCTCCATCTTATGAATTAACTTGCTAAGACACAGTTGAAAATCCCACTAGGTCCCTATATACATCTTCAGATGCCTAAGAACCTTTGGAAATCTGGCCAAAGGTGTCTAAATCTGGACCCTTAAAAGATGAAATTCTTTTGAAAATGTCAGTGCCTGTCTCAACAATGCAACTTGCACTATATTCAGGGTTTTTGAACTACATATTGCATAGATATGGCAGCACTTACTCCATATGCACATTTTCATCACACTTTTCCAAGGGCAGCACTAGCAGTACCACTACGAAACGAGAGGCCTCCAATCTAACTACAGAGTTGTAGCATAGAATAGGGTAGCCATGCTAATTAATCTGAGCAACTAATATGATTAGTTTGTATATTTTCAGGATACTTCACTTGTGTTGTTGAAAAAATATGGCTTTCTCCTAAAGCTCAGCTACATATACTAAGATCTTAAGATATTTGAATGACCAGTTTTGTTTTGAAAAAACAAACAAACAAACAAACAAACAAACTTAATTTCTTACACCACTAGGACACCAATGCAGCAGAGATCATCTGTGTCAATTTCAATATGCGAGTCAACCCCACAGACTTCAACTTTACTGAATTAGTGCCCAATTCTACACACAGCTGCAAAATGCTGATTGCTCTCTGATCAAGTTATATATATCTGAGTCATTTTCTAATGCAGGGACTACTGACAAAATAGTAATTTGTATTCTTTAGTTTCAGGGAAAAAGCTTCATTAATGATCTAAAATGATATAAACTGTCTGTTTTTATTAGGATTTTTTAACCTATTAGAAGTCTTTTGCTTAAGATACTATGCACTTGCAAGTCTGAATAACTCTGACTATATATTCCTGACTTTTAAAATTGGGCATCAGACTTCCTAACCTTTCTGTCTTCCTATATGATCGGTCTCATCTTTGAAATGATTTTGGCAGCTCTATGTAATAAGGACCAGTTAAACATTTAATTGCCTGGCACTATGGAAAATATATGGCCACATCCTAATAGAACAAAAATGACCTTCGCTGAAAGGTAAATGAATTATTTACTTGATTTTATTATACCGTTGAAGTTTGAACAGAATAAACCAAAGACAAATCTTGACATCACTCTCTGTAGATTTCTGTATTGAATGGTGGCATTTGGCAACACTGCAGATTTCAAATAACCGAGTAACAAACAGTGATAAAGAATTTTATAGATTCAAACTTTGAATGTTCTGAAAACAGAATATAGCCAAAGTCACTTAAATATGTGGAGGCTACTTTAGAAGTACAAAGCTCCTATTAAACTGAATGAGGATTCTGTCATTGGACAATCATAAATGGCTAAGTTGGCCTTTGGGAACAATTGTGTGGACTAATTCTCCACCACTTATAATCAGAGGTGTTATAATGGAAGTCAGAGGCCAGAAATTACTCCTATTTTTTCTCCCTGCTTGCCCTCCAGAGATTTTTTTATATTCATGGCTTTCATATTTTAAAAGCTATAATGAATTGCAGGTAGTCAATTTTATGAAATAATAAAAAGGACCATAATGAGTCTTATTTTAATCAAATGAGTCACAGAATGATGCTGTAATGTTTACTATATTTAAATAAATTGTAATGAAATTAAAATGCTGCAATATTGGGCTGAACAGAAATCTACCAAAAGGAAGACCTGATTAAGCAGATTCAATTGTGGTATTATTTAGTATCCAAACCTGCATAAACTTAGGAACATGAGTAAGTATAATTTGTGCAAGTGTTCATGGTAGCTGTTTTTGAGGGTCTTTATTGATAGATATAATTCATTGCTACATGCATACAATAAGAATATTAGAAAGATTTGGTGCAATGCTCATATCCCTTTATTTTCTAAACCAACTTAAAAAAAATCACGTTCACACAAAAAATAGATAGGGCAATGGAGGATTGAGAAGTAGAAAGAGCACAGCAAGGACTGCATTAAGGGAAGGGGCTGTAACATCTTTCCTAGATCTACTTACAGTAAATCAATCAAAACACTTGATGGAGTCACCAAGTGGTCTAGGGGGTCCATCTTTTGAAAAGTATTCAGTTACTTTTAGCTGTTAGTCAACAAAACTACAAGGTGCAAAAGTCAAGGAATAGGTCTAAGTCTTTGCATTGTTTTAACAACTCTTTCCAGGGATTCCCTTTTGGAGGCACCATAGGTTAGGAATAGCCCACCTTTAGTGTTCACACTAACAATCTAAGGCCAATTGTTAGCTCATTTGGAGCCAGACTATGGCCTGTCCTATTTGCCTGTGCATGGGGGTAAAGGAGCATAACATGGTTTCTTATCGCCCCCCTGTGGGCTACATGCATGATTTATAGTGTAAAGGAGAAGCTGCAAGAGTTTCCATGGGTATCGCCCCCCTGTGGGCTACATGCATGCTTTATAGTGTAAAGGAGAAGCTGCAAGGAGCAAAGCAGGGAGGCATACGGCACTTTCAAAGCACATCAGCCAGTGCAGCAGTGCTTGCTAGGAAAGGCAAGTTCCCTGTGTCAGCAAAGAGTTCATCCACATTACTGCCTGCCTGCAGCAAGGATCGGGGATTCAACTGTGACTCTGAGTTGGTCTCTGGTCTACTCTTGTATCTAGCTGCTGCCAGTAAGCAGCCTCTTCATCTGGGCATGGGGGAACTCCCCATTCAAGTTCTAGTCAAGTGTGTTATTTGCAAAGGAATGGATGATCAGAAGAGGAGAATCACCCATCAGCGCCCTAAAGATGAAAGTGGGTTTCTCAATACACAAATAGTGTGTCCCCTCTTGTACGGTGAAAGTGATATACACTGTGGAAGCAAGCTACCATGTCAGTTAGAACAATTTTATTGGGTTGTGAGTAGAAAAGAAATGCAACACAAGGAGGCTTTTGTCCATAGTGGTAGGTTGCACCTTTATTTCAAGATTCCTGCCTTTATTCAGTCTATGAATGTCCTGGCCTCTGTTTTTATGTGGGCTATCTCCACCTACTTGTTAGGTTCCTAATGAAGAGTAAATGGACACCTAAGGTTTGTGTTAAAGGAGAGGAAGCTCTATTCCACATACCTTTTCTTACTATCCCGTTTGGTGCTCTTTTCTAAGACTGCTCTACGTCGCAGGTAGTCATTCTGGATTTCATTGTACTTTGCAGTGTGCTCTTTAATCAGATCGGTGGTTTTCTTGTGATGTCTCTTGACAAGGTCCTTCATTTCTTTGTAGTGCTTCTTCTGCAGCTTAACGAAGGACTTCTGCTGTTTTAGTTCCTCAATGGTTTGGGCTTCCACTTCTGCAAGAATAATCATAGAAACGGCGTTGTTTTTCGGCGACCGAAATTGTACGTTAGCAGGACATTCCAATTCTGGTAAACAGGGAATGAAACCAATGGTTTACTACTGATCAACAATTTTTATTGGCTTGAGATAAATTAGAGGCTTTCAGTGATAACAACCAACTTTATCTGGAAACAAACCAAAAAGGCCGACAACATCACGGTCACTGTAATCAATTAAACAAAGTCTATGAGTTAAGTGATAAGTTCAGAGTCAGTCCATTAAGCAACGCAAATACATTGTTTTATCTTTCCCCAGATCCCTTTCAGATGCAGAGGAATCCCACCAGCCCAAGACAAACCTATCCACTGTTCTCTCCTGTGATTTCCCAGACCACCAGAAACCTATCATTGGGGACAAATATCCCTCTGATAGAAGAGGACTAGATGTAACTCCTTCTGGGTTTAGAAGAGTTGCCTCAGAATGTCTCTACATAAGCTGCTACTGTCCAGGCACAGACATTAGGATGCTGTATGAACACCAGACCAGTCCAGCTATAGCAGGGTTGGCAATAATGTTTGATGGGGGGCCGCTCCAAGAATTCGGTAAGAGTTAAAGGGTTGCATGCTTCTATGACATTAATGGAGGAGGTGCGGGGCCTGGGATGGAAGTGGGTGCAGAAGGGAGCTTGGGGAGAGGATTGGAGTGCAGGGTCTAGGAGGCAGTTTGGGTGAAGGAGGGGATATTGACCTGGGGCAGGGGACTGGCATGCCAGAGGGGGTGCAGGAACTGAGAAGGATATGGGTGCAGGAGAGGATTCTGACTAGGAGGAGGGGTAGAGGAGGGGTGCATGGTCTGGAAAGGGGTTGTGACTTGGAGCAAGGGATTGGGGTGCAGGGTCTGGGAGGAGGTATGGGTGCAGGAGTGAGGGTGCAGAGGGTTGGAGTTACATGGAGCAGTGGTGCCAGTGGCAGGCTCTGGCTGGGCAACACTTACCCAGGTGGCTCCTGCCAGCAGCCCAGAAGGATCCTCAGGCAGGCTCCCTGCCTTTCACACCCTTGCATGCTGTTCAAAGTGGCCACTTCAGGGGCATTGTGCTCTCTGTGCACCATGAACCCCTGGGGGAGGGGGGGCGATGAGCACTGCCTCCCACACCCAGCACAATCTTGCAGCTCCCAGTGGCCAGTGCAGCGCAAAGCCACGCCCCACCCGCCTGGGAGCTCATGGCATGCAGAGCACATGGCCCCCTGCAGCTGGCCTCCTGGAGTGGCATGCGGGGGTGTAAAAGGCAGGCAGCCTGCCTGAGGATCCTTCTGGGCTGCTAGCCAGAGCCACCTAGGTAAGTGCCGCCCAGCCAGAGCCTGCCTCTGGCACTCCATCCCCCGCTCCGCCCCACCTCCACCTTCTACTCGCCCTCCTGCACCACTGCTCCATGTAACCCGCAGAGTTTGGAAGGCTGGATCCTGCTCAGGTTGTAGTTTGCCTGCTCCAGGGCTAGAGCGGTGTTTCTAAAAGTGTTCCACGGAATCCCTCTCAGAAACACTTTAACTGGCCGCCCTGGTTTGTTTATTTACCAGCGCAGTGGCCACGGAGCCTTGTGGCCCCCATTGGCTCCATTTTGTCCTTTGCAGCCAAGGGGAGCTGCGGGAAGTGTGTATCTGAGGGATTCTGCGGAACACTTTCAGGAGTAATGTGGCCGTCCCAATTTTAAAAATATTATGCAAACAGACTTTTATTCTTGTTTCCGTTACATTTCCATTGGCTCATTTTCCCTTAAAAAGGTCCTCCCAGTTTGACGAGGTTTGCCCAAGTTTCTCAAAAGTATCTGCTGTGGTTGATGTCTCAGCAACTTATTATCAAGCATTTGTTGTATTACAAAACACAAAGACAGATTTATTTTTATTTTAACTGTCTACTCAGTAAGGAAACATTATATAAACTAGATCGAATGAAGAGATACTGAAAACAAAGTGTCATAAATCTACATACTTCTTGTATCCAAAACCTGGCCGAATTTGGTTATATTTGACATTGCTCATAGTCTGATTTAGTCTAAACTACATTGGGTCATGCTAACGTGTTCAGATTGGAGAGTTCCATCCTAGGTTGTAAAATAGCTCAGAGAGGTAGCCGTGTTCTTGTTGTTTTTATCCTATGTTGTGTTTGTCCTATGTTCAGTTTGTACGTGTATAATTATTGCCATGTTAGGTGAAACACCAGGGATTGAACCGGGCACCTCTAGAGCTAAAAAAACATAAGCTGTGGTAGCCTGAATAAAGCACTGTAGCTGTGGGCTGTAATAGCTCATTTTCTCTGAAGAATGGGAGACCCAGTAACTCACACTACACCAGTGGTTTCAAACCTGTGGTCTGTGGCCCCCTGGTGGTCCGTGACAGTATTGCAGGGAGTCTGTGGAAAGTTTAAAAATAGGGATCAGGCCCACCACGATGTGCCCAATCCTTACTTTTTTTTTCTTTTCCTTTTCTTTTCCATTTCTTTTTCTTTCCTTACTTTTCTCTTCCTTTTCTTTTTTTTTCTCTCCCCAGGAGGGGGTGTCCATGAAATGTTAATAGATTGAAAAGGGGTCCATATGCTCAAAAACGTTCGAACCACTGGGTTACACATTTTCTTTGGGAAATGGAGATTAGCAAGAGGATATAGGAAATGTTATCTCATAACAATTCTTACGGAAAAGATGCCAAAGCTCTGGATAGGCCTCCATTTCTGAAATTTTAAACAGTGCAAGTCACTGTATTTAAGTGAAATCCAAAGATTGCCTCAGATGCAGTTCTGTCGTACATGCCGATTTAGTCCATGAGGAAACACCGTAACTCCTTCCTTTCCCACTCCCTTCTCTAGATAGCAGTTTAGTTCACAGTGTAGGAACACATTTTGATATCAGTACACAAGGCTGTGCAACACTTTGACAAGTTACTACTATTTTTCAGTTGAACACTCATGAGGGTTTCAAAGAGAAAGCTTCATGTACCAAACTGAAAATACACTTCATAGGAAAATCGATGTATTCTTCAGCGAAGTTCAACGAAAGGGCTTCTCAGCCTTCGAAGGGGCGAGTGGACACGATGCCATCAAGAAGCTAAGCCAGAGTGACATTCAACTAGGTACGATGAAATACAAGCTGCATATCTCATTGCTAAGAGTTACCCCACTGAGTTCAGGACTGGGCCCTATATTGGACTGGTAGCTACATTATCATGGTGTATCTCTAAGGATATGTCTACACTACCACCCTAGTTCGAACTAGGGTGGTAGTGTAGACATACCCTAAGGCTGTGTCTACATTGGCAATTGCAAATCCGCAGGCTTCTCCGGCTTATCCCCAAGTCGGAAAAAAGCAACAGCCATGTAAATGCAAATGCCGCGGGGGATATTTAAATCCCCCGCGGATTTGCAATTGCGATGTGTCTCATTAGCATCCCTTTTCCGGAAAGGGATGCCAATGTAGACACAGCCTAACAGTGTAAGCAACATTAAGAGCTCTAGCATATGCAAGGCACTGGCTTTAAGTCATCTAAGTATGCTCAGAGCATGTTTGCGTGAGATGGTGGTAATAATACTGGTATTGTCTCTGCATTGGACATCCCCTCTTCCCCCACAAGATTCCAACCATTACTGACACACAAGGTAGTGCAATAAAGGGAGATATTAAAAAAACCCTCCCTACAGCAAGTCAGTGCTTATCTCATTGCAGACAATGACAACCCCCCTCCCATTGACTTCAAAAGCGCAGGACTATGTCCTAAGGGAACAAGTCCTGGCATGTGCATTTGTCACAAAGTTCTTTCAGTAGTAATCAGATAATGAAAAGTCTAAACCGGGTGGCCTATTTCACCAAATGTACATTTATCTGGACCAAACTGTAAAATTCATTCAGCGTATGCTATTTCATAACACTGTTATATTTATTACCTGTTAGGACACTCTGAATAAGATCCTCTGTTTTGGCAGGAGCTTTCACAGAACCTGGAGATAAAAGATACTATTGAGTTCAATTCTTTTTAAACAGAAGCCATATGTGATGTCCTTTGAAAATTTATATATATTGTATATCATTATTGCAGTTGTCATAGGATATACAGTTGTGTAAACATCTTAGGGCACATCTAAACTACAAAGATTTTTTGAAAGAGGAGATTCTTCTGATCACATTTTCGAAAGAGGATCTTTGGAAAATGAAAGTAGTCTGGACACGGTTTTTTCGGAAAAAAAAACCCTTTTCAAAAGTTTATGCGGTTTTTCAACAAAGGGTTTTTTTTCTGAAAAAACATGTCCAGACTACTTTCATTTTCAAAAAAATCCTCTTTCGAAAATATGATTGGAAGAAGATATGCAAATTCCCGTGGAATTTGCATATCCTCTTTCGAAAGTGAGTCTAGACATACCCTTACTGTATATTTTAGAAATGTGTGTCTGTCTGTCTGTCTGTAAGTGCATTGGTTCAAGAACGCTTCCCAAATGGTAAAAGCTAGGACACCACATTTCGTTTGTAACTTCTCTCATCATAACTAAAAACAAGGTCTTTAGAACTGGGCTCTATATTGGACTGGTAGCTACACTATCACTGGTGTATCTCTAACAGTATAAGCAATATGAAAAGCTCTAGCGTATGCAAGGCACTGGCTTTAAGTTATCTATGTATGCTCAGAGCACATTTGCATGACATGGTGGTAATAATACTGGTACCCTCTCTGCATTGGATCCCCTCGCCCCCACAGGATTCCTATAATTAAACTAAGTGATTGGGCAACAAAATAGCAAATGAAATTTAATGTTGATAAATGTAAAGTAATGCACATTTGAAAAAATAATCCCAACTATACATACAATATGATAGGGACTAATTTGGCTACAACTACTCAAGAAAGAGAACTTGGAGTCATTGTGGACAGTTCTCTGAAAACACAGGGCTGGCCGTACCATGAGGCAAACTGAGTGTAGAAAATTGTGTCTGCTGCTGATGTTATGTAGGTAGCAGATCAGTACCATGAGAGGAGTAGAACAGGAAGAAGGCAGAATTGAGACCTTTCAAAGTTTTAGCCCAAGTGACAGGGCATGGGGGCATCAATGTGAGCTCCCCGCCTCAGGTGCTAAAATGTTGTGGGCCGGCCATGTGAAAACATACACTCAGCGTGCAGTGGCAGTGAAAAAAACAAACAGAATGTTCGGAGTCACTAAAAAAGGGATAGAGAAAATGACAGAAAATATTTGATTGTCTCTATATAAAACCATGGTATGCCCATATCTTGAATACTGTGGTCGTCTCATCTCAAAAAAGATTTATTGGCATTGGAAAAGGTTCAGAAAAGGGCAACAAAAATGATCAAGGGTTTGGAACAGGTCCCATATGAAAAGAGATTAAAAAAGACTTGGGCTTTTCAGATTAGAAAAGAGGAGACTAAGGGGGGATATGACAGAGATCTATAAAATCATGACTGGTATGGAAAAAGTGAATAAGGAAAAGTTATTTACTTATTCCCACAATATAAGAACTAGGAGTCACCAAATTAAATTAATAGGAAGCAGGTTTTAAAACAAACAAAAGGAAGTTTTTCTTCACTCAGCACATTGTCAACCTGTGGAACTCCTTGCCAGAGGATACGGTGAAGGCTAGAACTTGAATAGGGTTCAAAAGCGCTAGATAGATTCATGGAGGTTAGGTCCATCAATGGCTATTAGCCAGGATGGGTAGGAATGGTGTCCCTAGTCTCTCTTTCTCTGGAGTTGGGTGACAGGGGAGGGATTACATGGTGATTACTTGTTGTGATCCCTCCCTCTGGGGCATCTGGTATTAGCCACTGTCAGCAGACAGGATACTGGGTTAGATGGACCTTTGGTCTGACCCAATATGGCCATTCTTATGTTCTTAAGGTCAGGGTTTGGTTGTGCAATTGATTCTCATAAAATGGAAAGGGAGGAGTCGGCAGGAGGACCAGATATACAGTAGAATAATCACACCAGGGGCAGAGAGGGGCCAGAGATGGGAACCAGGACAGCTATAAGCCCATTGGGCATCCGGGGTGGAGAAAGAGACAGCTATCTACTATATATTTTAGAATTTGTTTGTCTGTCTGTGTATCAGTTTGTCTGTGTGTCTGTCACACCACTCCCCTAGCTGTGCCCGCTGCAGTTGCAGCAACCATGGAGAGGCGCTTCTCACCTGGCCCCAAGCTGCTGCAGTGAGGGAGGACAGGGGTAATCCTCTCTCCCCAGCACAGCCTGTATACTGAACCCCTCACCCCAGCCCCACCCCAGAGCAATGATTGAAATGAAGAAAAACAAAACTTATTTAAGTGATGGACCTGAGCAATGCCAGGTAAATCTTCTAATTCTGAACAATATCAGGAAATTTATCTTTTAGGTACTCTTTTTACTGCAGAAGAACAGTAAAATGGAGATACGTCCCAATTCATAGATTATATATTAATTACATTGATTTCTTATGATTTCCCAGTTATCATATTGAGGGTTGACAGGTTCTTGTCCCAAGATCAGGCCCAGTATTACTTAAACGATTGTAGAATTGGGAGCTCCTATGTACACAGTGGCAACATGCACTGTGCATTGTGCATGTATTTGCAATAGTCACTATGCTTATTAATACACTTAGCATAGTCACAAACACCCCAACACAGTAAAGTAGATGGAGATAATATAGAATGTACATCTGCACATCCATATGCTCACACCGCCCCCTGCAGAACAAACTGCAATGTTAACCACTATCTTCCTCATTACCATTACTTTCCTCATCATCATCTGTGGCCATTGTTCTGGGGTCTCATCTCTCCTATTGCCCTCAGACTAGGACTCAATTTGTGCAATATGTTATGCTGATGGCCAATAGGTCTAATTTTCAGTAAGGGTTTCTTCCTCTTCATTATTTTTATTTCCTCACCCTATCAATGTTGAGATGCTCTTATCCTAGAGTAGTATACTAATTATCTCAATTTATTACCATATATATCAGTTTGTTGCCTTGGCACTCTTGCGGTCATAAGTCTATGGAATCTCATGATTCTGTAGTGATGGCAAATTCTGACAAAATATTCCCTCACACACTCTATTCTCAGTTCACTAAAATGTAGGGTTAGTTTTGGGCCATTTATCTGTGTGGAAGTGTATAGGCCTCAAATTTTATGCTAAGTGCTGAAGCTAATGTCTTCTATGGTATAAGCCTGTAGGTTCCTTGCATTACTGCACAATATAATAAAGGTGGAATATAATGAAAACAAGGCTGTGAATATAATACGGGCAAGATAGCCTTATGGTTTACATAGGTGATGCTGGTATCAACACCAAACACCACAACACAAAATAAAACACCCTAACCACCTCACTTTTCTCAAGAGAAGGATGCAACTGAATGGAGTGGGACCAATCATGAGAATAAAGTCAATAGGATTTGGCTCATGGTTAGTACAACACTGCTACTTTAAGTGAAAGTTCAAAATTGTTTTAAAAGGATCTCATACAACTCCTCTGAAGGCTGTTTAAGTTGGGTCGGGCTTATGATGAATGATCAATAACCGATTTGGAAATAATGCCATTTTAGAATTCTTATTAAAATATATTCATCAATACAAATATATAGACCTTCCTTTTCAAAGAATGAATTTCAAGATGTAAATGCACGCGCAAATGGAGGGAAATATTTTTGTAAAAGCAAGTTAAGGGCCTAGCAGACATAGACCTAAAAACTATTGTGCAAAGGAGCTTGCCTGTAATGGATTGCTCAGTTGCACAATTACACGTGCAAAATAAACCGCTAATTTCAAAACTCAAGAAAAATGACTGTGCTTGCAGCTGTGCCCCCTTGTTCATTAAAATACACACTCTATCCTGTTTACATTGTCTGTTGTGTGAGCAAATTGCATCCCAAGGATCATGGGCCTATAGCCAAACCAATAAAAGATTGGCTATGGATTTTGAAATGACGGTACAATTGTTCTGTAGAATCTGAGACAGGAGTAAAAATTCACATTTACCAGGACAAAAGGATATTATGATTTGTTTAGCATTAGCAATGTGCTTGTGCTGTATTAATATGTGAAAAAGAAGACAGCCCTAGAGACACTGCAGTTTAAGAGACAGAGGCAAGTAAATATTAAATGACAGAAGACTGGTCAGCCGGGGACATCCAGAAGTTGGGATAACCAACTCACTTCTGGAAGAACTGAGATTTTAGAAAGCATATGAAGTGATGGACACATGCACTTTACTATAAGACTTGGAGATGTTCAAAATCTACTGCTCTTATGCTCATCACTCATCAGCATATAAAAAGATGCTCTGCACACAATATGAAAGTCAGATTTTCTACACTGCTCAACTCCTTCATGAAATGGTCAGATTCTTCAGAAGTGCTTAGCATTCCATAGCTTCCATTGTTTGCATGATCTCACTCCCCTTGGCACATGGACGTATGGGGCACTGTAGAAAACCTAGCCCATCACGTTTAAGTGCTGCTTTGGTATTTAAGATTAAAAAGCAAATACCAAAGTAATCTTCATGCTGGATTCTGCTGATTGTCTCTTCAAATTTCAAGGAGCCCTTGCCCACGAGTGGGTAATATTATTAATACTACTACTAATAATTATTTTTTTCTGTCCTCAACTCTTGTGTAATCATGACATGTTTCACTCCAATGGTGATTGCCTTTTGGGCACAAGTGGATATAGTACATGAAGCGCAAAGGTATCCTTCTTGAAGAAAGAGGCTATTGCTAATGTAAAATAAAATAACAGTGCATGTTATAATACAGGACAAATATTTTTTTAACATTTTAACACAAATTTCCTCTACTCATTCAATATTACTTGTTTTTTAATGCAAAGCACAAACAGAAATTGTGACCACCACCATTTCTTGGTTGTTGTTTTTTTTGGTCTTTCAAATAATTAGTGTAGGAAAAATATGATTAGGTCTTTTACCCGGGGCTGGTTGGCTGTGAACAACCTGAGTTGCTGGCTTTGTTGTCAGAGAAGTGGAGTGACTTAGTCCATTTTCTGCCGGTGTTGGTCTGGGCTCATGATTAGCTTCTGATGGTGGATCTCCCTGTTCAGCCTAAAGACAGAAAATATTTTTACGTGACTCTTCCAAATAGGTATGTACACAATAAACACCTAGCAGGGGAGAGAGTTATTTATTTCTAGTCCAACCTTCATGCCTCCTTTGATTCTGAAATTTCTTACAGGTTTTAAATACACTGCTCTAAAAGAGGAAAAAAAAGTGGGCTTACTAGCTTCGGTTTTCCACTATATCAGTTACAGTTCATTCTTGCAGCTTTACTTTCAAAAAACACAGCACATACCTTTCTGAATAATTATTCTGAGTGTACTTTGGTCTTTTATAACATTATAAAATGTTAAGAGGATATAACTCAACTGGGTAGTTTTCAGCCACAAAGCATACAGGTAATTTACTCATTTATGAGTATGAGAGATGAAACTATATTGAATCAGCATGGTGCTGCATCAAAAAAACCTTTTGGAAGTAAGTAGAGAGTATCAAGAAAATACCATTCAGATGCTTATTATGATCAAAATGTGTGTGCAGAACTGCCACTAAATTTCATAGCTAATTTTACTAGATATACGGGACAGAGTAATTAGTCACCAACTCTCAAGACACACACACATACTTCTTATTCCCAGGATAATTACCCCATAATTACACTCAACAGAGAGCACATCAAAA